ATTTAATGAGAAGTAGATACCTTATCGCCCCTCCCTTTCCAAGAGAAGTTAGAAACCCTAGTTAATAACTACATTAACGAGAGCAGTTTACCTATTTTTTTTTTTTTTTACTCCAAACAATCCTATTTAATACCATAGATTGATTAATAGTTATGCATAATTATTGGTAACAACGGTTTTTTTGTATTTCAAATAAGAACCAGAATTGTAACTTAAACTAGGCTGGTTTGTTGCACAACTCGAGTTAAGCGATTTCTAATTTGTAATATTCCTATTTCTAGCTAGCTTCTTGCTAAAATTCTGACGTTCCCAAGAAAAACTATACATAACAATCGAAATTGTCATAATCATACATGTAAAAACATAAGATATAATAACGTACTTCTTGAAATATAAAACCACAAATTTTCTTAACATTTGTCTTTGTCATGAAATATAGTATAATCACAAAAGCATGGTAGGTTATTGAGGAGTGGATGCTCCAAAGGCAACCATTAGAGGTTTTTGAGTTGGCAAAGTGTTATAAATTTGAACAGTTAGTGGTTTATGGCAATGTGGACTTCCATTCTCAACATTAAACTTAGGATAAAGGTATATATTACTCATTAGTATACTAAAGATGGATGAAATTTAAGCATTAGTATAAGTACATATCAATATTGTTAATTTTAATATATATATATATATATATATATATATATATATATATATATATATATATATATATATATATATATATATATATATATATATATATATATATATTTGAAGCGAGTTAAAGAAACATACGTAAGTGTAAAAATGGATGCGTAACTATCATGTAGATGTCACATCGACATTTAGTTTGATAAATCAGTTACCCTAATTCATAAATAATGGTCTTTTGTGATACATATAGAAATACACGTTTTTATGATTTTAACTTTACTGTAAAATGATAATTAAAAAACAAACATCCTAGCAATTTAGAAAAAGCTTTAACGACAAATCTACACCAGCATCAATTTCAACATCACACTTATCGTCATTTTTTTTATTGAAAAATCATGTGGGAAGTTGCACATTATCTTCTTTCATATTCGTACTTTCATTTCCTAAAAAAGTGATGTAGCTCTGTGATAATATGAATGGTTGTTATGTATATGTTTGCCCAATTAACCTTTAATTCCACGTTTTTTAAGTGGAATTGGCAACTCTCCTCTAAAAGAATCAGCGAATGGTTTAAGAAGATCATGCAAAAAGTCTTAAAACCAACGTTTCTGTTTAATTATAACTCTTTTAACATGCATGAGTTCGCCAACGAATTAAACTTACTTAACATGCCCTAGAAAGCATGGTGTTGGAAACATTAATTATGGCACCTTAATCCTAGCTTCTTCGATTGCTAATCGTCGGTTTAAGAGGCTAGAGCGGAATCATGTTCTTGGCTTGGATGTAATGCGGATCCTATATAGGGCCTGATTTTTTTTACTTATAAATACCTCTATTATATATAAGATGAGTTTTATTTTTTTTAAGCTAACTTTATAGCCCATACGTTATCATTATCATTAATAAAAAGGAAATTATACAAGTATACAACACAATCTCAAAAAAATTTCGGAAAAAATCGTAATCAAATCGTGATTTTTGGAAACTAAAACTCTACAAATAAACCCAAAAAACTGTTCTAATTTACTTTCTATTTACGCAGTCCTTCGTAAAGTATTAAGCCTAAACTAAAGAATAACTCTGCCGCCTGAAAAATTGTTCATCGGGAAATAATGTCACCAACGGAGTCCTGAAATTTGATGGAATTCTCACCGGTGAACATCGCTGCTACCACCGGAGTGCTCATCATCCCCTCTATCCTCTTTGTCGTTGCTGATCTGTGCTTTGTCTCTCCGCTTTTGTAATTTTTTTTTTCTATCTTTCTCGCTCTCACTCTCACTTTGGCTCTCGGTCTTTCTATTTCTCTTTCTCTTTTCTTGAATGTGATAAGATAAAGGGGAAATGGACTTAATAAGGTAATTAACTTTTCGGTTTGTTCACATCTGGGTAACTATCTTTTTTTTTTACACATGTAGGTAACGAACTTTTTGGAAGTGTTCACATATGACCATTATGACCGGCTGTAGCAGGTTACATCCCGTCATAACCAGTTATAATGGTCATATGTGAACACTTCAAAAAAGTTTGTTACCTAGATGTGTACAAAAAAAAAGATAGTTACCTAAATGTGAACAAACCGAAAAGGTAACAATAAAATACACAAATGGTCCCTGTAGTTTAGGTAATTTGTCCGTTTCATCCATAACTTATTTTTTAACTTAGATGATCCATACTATTTATTTTTGTTATGCATTTGGTCTTTGTCCTACCTCAAAAGATTATTGTGGGATCCAATTTAAATTTCTCAAATGTGGTTTCAGGTTTAAGGTGAGGAGATGTAGATATGTGGGGTCTATTAATTTTTTTTAATATATAAAAAATAAATACATAAATAAGAAAAAAAATTAAAAAAAATTAAAAAGGGCACAACAGTCTTTTAAGGTAGGACAGGGACCAAATGCACAACAAAAATAAATAGTAAGGATCATCTAAGTTAAAAAAAATTAGTTATGGACCAAACGTACAAATTACCCAAACTACAGGGACCATTCGTGTATTTTACTGTTACCTTTTCGGTTTGTTCACATCTGAGTAACTATCTTTTTTTTGTATACATATAGGTAACAAACTTTTTGGAAGTGTTCACATATGACCATTATGATTGATATGACCGGATATAACCTGCTATAGCCGGTCATAATTGTCATATGTGAACACTTCCAAAAAGTTCGTTACCTAGATGTGTATAAAAAAGATAGTTACCCAACTGTGAACAAACTGAAAAGTTAATTACCTTGTTAAGTCCATTTCCCTAAGATAAAGTGTAGGAATGTGAAAAAGATACGAATAGGTAAATGAAAACCTGTGAAAGTAAAACCAAAAGCTGCAAAACCATTTATTTATTATCTGTTAATTTATGATTTTTTTTATTAAATGAAGGTGTGTGACGGAAAATGTTATCGAAATCCTCAATTTGCAGTTTAATTTTATTTGCTAAAAGTTATATATTTAACTGTTAGTTTTTTTTTTTTTTTTATTTTTTTTTTTTTTTTTTTTATATTTATTAGTTAGTATCAAATAATTTTGTAATTTCTTAATTGTTGTTAAGAGTATTACTATAAAATTTGTAACACAATTCAAGTAAAATTAAAAGACAATTTTATTATACTTCAAAAACATATTGGCCCTTTGGTTTTATAGCTTGTGTTCCGCCCCTGATTATGCATATCCAAGAGGTGGTCAATGATGCAATTTGGGCTTGTTGAAGTGACAAAACAACTTTTTTTTGTTTTAGATTTCATCCATGTTCGATTTAAAATGACCAATATACCCTTATAATTTTTTTATAATTTATTTATTTATTTATTATTGTATAAATTATATATAAAAGAAGTAAGCAATAAAAAACGTTAAACCTAAGCCTTTTCATCTCTCCACGATCGTATTCATGAGGTTGGCACGTTCACCTCCATATCTCCATCACCACCTCTCACTCTCATTCTTCTTTTCTGTAGCCGCCTCGCCCTCTTCTTCCCCTCTCCCAACCTCTTCCAACCTGACATTCTTCAGTCAATCTAGGTCAACTAGAGTTTGCATCTCCAATCCCCACCATGTTCCCCCCCTCTTCTCTCTCTCTCTCTCTCTCTCATGGATGGGTGATTACACATGGAGGATTTATTATGCAATTTACTCCAAGATCAAATAGATAGGAACTATGAAGCAAAAGGTAATTATGCACTTGAGTTTGGTGAGTGGTAGCAAGTTTTCCAGCAATGTATGGGGTACCCATGATTTAATCTGGTGAGTCTTATATTGGTTATGGAGATAGTGATTGGGAAACGGAAAGGGAAGGGAAGACTTACAAGAAGCAAACTGTTAATAATAATATTAAATGATATATTGAAAAGAAAAAGAAAAAAGGAATATAGTTCTTTTTAGGTTTGGTAGGGACTCATCTTGAAACAAAACAAAGACATAAGGATGGTCCGAGTTAAAAAATAAAGTTACAGATCAAATGTACAAATTCACCATCATACAGACCATTCGTGTAATTTACCCTTCCTTTAATCCCAAAAGTTGCGAATCCCTTAGGTATTAATGACTACAAGCCTATCACATAATTGGAGTGAAGTACAATATCATAGCTAAACGTTTTTATTATTATGATGTGATTGACTTAGACGATGCATAGAGGTTGTGTGGTGGTGTTGGTTTTGAAATATTTTACCTGGGAAAAAAATTATTAAGTTCTCATGTAAATATTGATTCTCAAAAAATTTTGATTTTGTTTAGATTTTGGCATTTTTTATATTATATATCATCTAACTTGTTGAACTTGTTAACATATTACCCTTTTAACTTGCAACACCCGATCACAAAGGTAAATTGTGAACAACTTCAATAAAGTTGGATGGTATATCATATACAAAAAAATGACTAAATATGAACATAATCAAAAGCTGGTTACTTTCATGAGTCATTTTCCCTTTTATTTTCAACCTTATATAGATTTAGCATTGGGTGGGCGGGGGTGGGGGAGGTTGCCTATATTTAAATTCATCCATTGTTAAACAAGTAACCAACAAGTTTTCGATACATAGTGAGGATTTGTTCCATTAGAGATCAAATAGTACAAGGTTGGATATGAGGAGTTTCCACTTCGTGCCTTGATCGCGATCATTATGCATAAAAAGTAAACATTAAATCTACTAATTAGCAAGTAAAAACGAAGGGTCAAATTATGGGAGATTATAGTTAACAAATTAGTTCTCTAAGCGATTAAAAGAATTAACTTTGATGTTTGTACCTCCCCACCTCATTTTAATGAGATTTTCGAGGCTTGCTATTGCGTTGAAACAAGTTTTCGCTAAAAATTACATAATAAAATAGGTTTTAGTATTGGGTTGAAAATGTCGTTAAAGGTTCGCCATGCACCAATAGACCTCACATCATAAGCAACATCATCTTAAGTCTCTTTAACACACATACACACACCCACCTATCTGAAAGTTAGGTTTTAAAAACGCCATGATCACGACATATTTTTTAAAGCTCAAGACTCAACCTTTTGCCACCCTTCAAGTTATATAGAGCATAGTCTAAGAAAAAAAAGAAAAAAAACACTAATCTATATTAAAAAATATAAAAAAGACAACAAATATAAAAAATTATATTTGTTCGGTCTCACGTATTAACAATTTTTTTTTATATAAGTGGCATATTAATATTGAGTATTTATTATATTTTTGTAGTGAATCAGTTATTCTATATTTTTATAATTTTGAATGGCTTATATAAATAGTGCTAAATATGTTATCAATTATCATCGTCTTCTACATCCATCTTCCATTGAAATTGTTCTCTCTCCTTCCATCTCTTTCGCCACTTGAATACAGTCCTTATTTCCCGTGACATTTTTCTCATTTACAAACAGTTAACAATTAACCTAGTTCAATCAATTTGCCAATCGTCATTACTGCCCTAGTCAATCTACAGAGAACTCATACACAACTCTGATCACTCATTCAATCTTCAATCAATTAGGTCATTATCCATTTGCCTTAATCAATTACTTCGATCGATTAATTTGGGTACTCTTATGATAATTGGTTGTGGTTGATCGATATAGATAATAGAATGAGGATTGGATCAACGGCGGATGAGAGGCGGAGGAAAGCGGTAGAGGATGAAGTGGTGGGGGAGGAGTACGTGGTTGAGGATGTTCGAGATCACGATCACGGGAGGTTAACGAAACGTCGGAGTCGATTCACGTTATTGGCAGGGGATCTTGACCTAGATCCGAGTCGCAGAGATTTCAATACAGAGAAATTCATCGATGGAATCAGAGGATGCTCTCCTGCCCTCTTCATTCATCCTCAAAACAGGTTCTCTCTCTCTCTATCAGTATATCTATATGTTTGCATATACACACGCTGCATTCTCTCTCTGTATATGTATTTATGTCGACTCCTTGTGTGTGTGTGTGTGAAAAACTACGTGACAAGAGGAATCTCAACCATTACTTCGTTTTGGCACTTTTAGTATTTGCAAAATTTGTCCCAAAATCTAACATATATTCAATTTTTATTTTTTATTTTTGGATTAAAAGTGAAGAATTGTTTTTTTAAAGTGGATCAGATAATAGTCACCTAAACATTGTCTGAGTCATCGGGTCGCTGTAAAATATTTTAGCCGTCATTGATGTACATGTTCCATGAGATAAAATATTTTAGCCGACAATGAATCATCAAGATTCGAGGGTCATTGTGAAATTGCCATATATAGCTATATCATATAAATAAATCATAAAGTAAATATATATGTTTAGAAATATGCATGGATCGTTTGGGAAATTGGGATTATTTATTCAAAACATGTTTTTTTTTAAGGTGTTTATACTTTATAGTTAACGTGTTATCAAAATAAAAAGAAATTTTTTTTTAATAGATTTTCACAATTACACATGTATAAAAGTAATATCCGTTGTATGTATTTTTTTATGCCCACTAGTGTCTAGTGAATATATTTTCATATTCGTAGATGAAGATATGTTCATAATATGTTCATGAATGGACATTTTTCAATTTTCAACTTTTAAACAGCATACAAGATAAAAATACAATTGTTTATTTACAACATGCTTTTTTAAAGGTGTTTATTAGTTGTTTTCGTAAATAGAAAAGTCTAGATTAGAGCATATCCAAAATTTATTTATTATTTTAAATGTATATACAAATTATCTTTAAAAAAAAATTCCACTACAAAAATTTCTTTGTAAGAGTTTTAATAATTAAATATTTATTTCTATTTATTTAAAATATTTTATATTTTTAAACATATATCATATTTCATATTGGTGCTATTTTATTAATTATATAGTTAAAAATATTAAAAATTATAATAAAAATATAATAATTTTATTTTATGTTTTAATAGATTTGATTAATGAGTAAAAAATCTTAAACCTATAAGATACAATATCACTAAATTAGTAAGGGGTTGTTTAAGGAATAATAATCAATCATAAGTAAGCTTTTATTAGAGATGTTCTTAGCTTATGTACTAATAAGTAATAAATTGATAAGTTTCTTTTTAGTTATCAAAATTTATATATATATATATATATATATATATATATATATATATATATATATATATATATATATATATATATGTGGTAGTTATGACCAGTTATTAGTTATATAATAATTATATTAAGTATTACATTAACATTTTAATCGTTCTAAATATGTATGCTGTAAAATTTAATATACTTATATCAGACACAATAATATAGGGGAATGATATTCTTTAACAAAGTCAAATGCCTATTTCATCAAATATTTCGACTACAATGGGTTCCTCAGAATTAAAAAAAAAAAAAAAAAAAAAAAAAAAAAAAAAAAAAAAAAAAAATCAGTTTATTTGTAACTAATAATACGTGGGCAACTTATAATCTAAGGAGTCATTATCTCAAAAGTATTAAATAGATGGTTTCTTTATTTTATTGTATGTGACACTAATAAAATAGATGAAATAATATTGTATTTTATTAAAAAGATAGGCCTTAAAATAACTCTTTAAATAAACAAATCCATTAATTTCTAAATGTATTTTCTAGTCATTTAATTTGTCTTTGTCTTAAGTTTAACAAATTTTTTAATAACGATTGTTTAATTTGTTTTCGTCTAAGTTTAATAAAATTTTTAATAACGATTGAGATTTCAACTTTTTTACATTAAATTTGGTTTCTTCATTTTTTGCTTCAAGCTGTGTATTATTATTAACTTGATATAAATGTAATAATATAATAATATTTCATCTATTTTGTTAGAGTTTGACAATAGAGTTATTGTAATTAAAAACTGCAAGGTATTAATTAGGATTGTAGAAAAGGGGGCTATTTATTATTAAAAACACCACTTGTTAGATAAACATGTGAACTCGATCTTGATTTATATTGTGAGTCCCTATTTTGATACTTTTCTTATATATAAATGTTTATATTACTTATTTTGTTTGAATTTCTAATTAAATAAAGAAACTAATTATATATATATTTTTTGTACGTCCGGGAATAAACCAATTATATTGTATTCATAACATACCACTTGTGATCCCACTAATCTTGGAACGAAATTTTAGGAAAATATCTAATCAAATATTTATGTCCTCCACAAAACCCCATGTGATGGTTTATGGTACTTACAATAATTTTCATTTGTATGTTGCTCATAGTAAAATATTTATTTAAGGTTTAAAATTCCTAAAAAGAAATTGCTATGTTAATTATTTATACCTTTTGAAAATTGTTATGTTAATTATTTTTCTATTTAAGTTTCATCTCCCAGTGGAGTCACATATATTGGCATCATAATATACATTAATCCATATCCCACAATTCTAAAATAAATATCAATATGTATAATTATCATATATTGAACTTAAATACCACCTAAAAAGGATTCAGCTTCCAAAATTTAGTATATCTTATTCCATATATTTCACACTTAAATGAAGATGTGATAGTCGCTCCATTTATCAAAAAGTATGTGTACAAGTGCTCTTCAAAAGTAGCTGTTAGCTTTCGAATTGTGTAAAAAGACATAAAACATAAAAGCTAAAAGCTTCCAAAAGCTGTTACAAGTAAGTGTTGGATCATTAGCTTTTGGTTTAAAGTTTGTACACTTAGATACAAGGAATACAATAAACAATATGCTATTCTTCTAAAACATTTAAGCATTTAAATTGGTCTCATTTATACTATAAGATCAACCAAGTATAACCAAAGATGAAAATTCTAACATATGACACAAAATCTTTTGAATGCAGCTGGTATAAAGCATGGGAGAAATTCATATTAATATGGGCAGTTTACTCTTCTTTCTTCACACCAATGGAATTCGGTTTCTTCAGGGGATTGCCTAAAAACCTCTATTTCTTAGACATAGCTGGTCAAATTGCTTTCCTCATAGATGTTGTTCTACATTTCTTTATTGCCTACAGAGACACCCAAACTTACAAAATGATTTCAAATCGCAACCTAATCGCTGTTAGGTTTGTAATTTCTTCTCTACATATCCAAATCAATAAAAGAGTCTATAATTTTTTTTTGAGTAAATTACACGAATGGTCCCTATGGTTTGGGGTGATTTGCACGTTTGGTCCCTAACTTATTTGTTTAACTCGGAAGGTCCCTACTGTTTGTTTTTGTTGCATCCTTGGTCCCTGTCTTACATAAAAAGACTATTTTTCCCTTGATTTTTTAATTTATTTAAATAAACACACCCCCAACCCCACTTCTAACCCACATTACATTATCTTAACAGTTTTTTTAGGTAAGACAGGGACCAAACATGCAATAAAAACAAACATTAGGTACCTTTCGAGTTAAAAAAATAAGTTAGGGACTAAACATGCAAATTACCCAAAACCATAGGGACCATTCGTGTAATTTACTCTTTTTTTTTTTTAAATTAAAATTAAAATCCATCTTTTTGTGATTTCAGGTACCTCAAATCTCATTTTCTATTCGATATACTAGCATGTATGCCTTGGGATAACATATACCGGGTATATATGCATTACAAAATTAATATATTATGAAATAATAAAATCATAATTTCCGATATGATAAAATGATTATTTATTTATATTAGGCTTCCGGAAGAAAAGAAGAAGTGAGATACCTTTTGCTACTTAGATTGGTTCGAGTACGCAAAGTCTTGGAATTCTTTTCAAGATTAGAAAAGGACATTCGTGTCAATTATCTCTTTTCAAGGATTATAAAATTAATCGCTGTTGAACTCTATTGCACGCATACAGCTGCATGTATTTTCTATTATTTGGCTACTACTCTGCCAGCTGTCCAAGAAGGATACACCTGGATTGGAAGCTTAAAATTAGGCGATTATAGCTACTCAAATTTCAGAGAGATTGATCTTTGGAAACGCTACACAACTTCTTTATATTTTGCCATTGTTACTATGGCCACAGTTGGTAAGTTCATTTTCATCAACATAAATTACAATGTACTTTCATTCATTTGTTTATTATATAAAAAAAATCTAAATTACAATGCCATAATTGTGTGTATTTGTTAGGTTATGGTGAAATACATGCGGTGAATATGAGAGAAATGATATTTGTAATGATTTATGTGTCGTTTGATATGGTTTTGGGGGCATATTTGATTGGTAATATGACAGCTTTAATAGTAAAAGGATCGAAGACAGAAAGATATAGAGATAGAATGACAGATCTTCTTAAATATATGAATAGAAATAGACTTGGGAGAGATATAAGAAATCAGATAAAAGGTCACCTTCGTTTACAATATGAAAGCAACTACACTGATTCCACTATTCTTCGTGATCTTCCAATTTCCATTCGTGCAAAGGTGTCTACTTTCAATCTTTTTCTTATCAAGACATTTTATACTCTGAAATCATTAGAATTATATGCTTATTGATGTTGTGAATGTGATTCTTTCCAGATATCTCAAACGCTATACAAGTCATACATTGAAAAAGTTTCACTTTTCAAAGGATGCTCTTTGGAATTCATCAATCAAGTTGTAACTAAAGTGCATGAAGAGTTTTTTCTCCCAGGGGAAGTCATTATGGAACAAGGCAATGCTGTTGAGCAACTTTATTTCATCTGTCATGGTGAACTGGTATAACTTCCTTCCTTCTCTTTTTTTTTTTAATTAAAATTACTAAACCTTTTGGATATTTTCTTAAGAACGATGAAATGAAATTATATATAAATAGGAGGAAATTGGGATATGTGAAGATGGATCTGAAGAAACAGTATCGATTCTAAAACCTCATAGTTCATTTGGAGAGGTTTCTATTCTTTGTAACATTCCTCAACCTTACACAGTTCGAGTTTGTGAGCTTTGTAGACTTCTTCGCCTTGACAAACAATCTTTCTCTAACATCCTTGAGATTTATTTCCATGATGGGAGAAAAATTCTCAACAATCTTATAGAGGTAATTCATTCATTTTCCACAAATAAGTTCAATTCAGCTTATATATATGAATTCAATCTGGCTTTTTGAAATTAATATATGATATGATGACAGTTTAACGCATCAGATGCACGCATGAAGCAATTGGAGACAGATATCATTTTACACATTGGAAAACATGAAGCAGAGCTTGCACTCAGGGTCAACAGTTCAGCTTTTTATGGTGATTTGTATCAGCTTAAAAGCTTGATTAGAGCTGGAGCTGATCCAAATAAGAAAGATTATGATGGAAGGACACCATTGGTAATTAAACTACTTTTAATAAATAATAACAAATCCTAATTTTATAAAAAAAGATTTCAAGATTGAGGGCTATAACAAATTCTTGAAATGAATAAACAGCATCTTGCTGCATCAAAAGGATACGAAGATATCACTCTTTTTCTTATTCAAGAAAAGGTAGAAGTCAATGTTTTAGGTAATTAAACTTCCTTCTATATGTAAACTTTATGTTCACTTTGATGACTTGTGCTAATCATTTTATTAATCTTGGTGATATATAGATAATTTTGGGAACACGCCGTTATTAGAAGCAATTAAGAATGGACATGATAAAGTGGCTTCCATATTAGTGAAAGAAGGTGGATCATTGAAGATAGATGATGCTGGTTGGTTTTTGTGTACAAGTGTAGCAAGAGGAGATATTGATTATATACGAAGGATTTTGTCAAATGGGGTTGACCCAAATTCAAAAGATTATGACTTTAGAACTCCACTTCATGTGGCTGCATCACAAGGATCTTATATAATTGTCAAGTTGTTGGTGGAAGCTGGAGCTAGTGTTCTATCAAAGGACAGGTATATATATATATATATATATATATATTATATATATATATATATATATATATATATACACCAATATTAATTAATTCATAAAGTATTAATTTACTAATTAAATTAGTTATATATATATGTATGTTACTATTTAGTTAGTTAATTTGAATGTATATGTGTAGATGGGGTAATACTCCACTTGATGAAGGGAGAATGTCTGGAAACAAGATGTTGATCAAATTACTAGAAGAAGCAAAAGATGTTCAGTTGTCTGAACTTCCGGAAGGTTCTCAAGAAATAACAGGTATTTTTCAAAAAATTTAACCTAATATTTTTCTTATTATTGTGAGACTAACATGGCAACTGACAAAATCTACGTGTATTTGATGACAGATAAAATGCATCCTAGGAAATGTACAGTATACGCATTTCACCCATGGGAACATAAGGACAAAAGCACGTGTGGAGTGGTTTTATGGATTCCACGAACAACAGAGCAACTTATAAAAACAGCAGCCGAACAATTGAAGTTGGAAAGTTATGACACTTGTTGTATAGTAACAGAAGATGCAGGTAAAATTCTTGATGTTGATATGATTTTAGATGGACAAAAGTTGTATTTGATTAGTGAAGAATGAGTGTGTGGTTTGTGTATCATTTTGATTATGTAACACAAACATTGCAATATAAATAAATTTCATCTTAAGTTTCAACCTTTAAATACCCAAAATAAAGTTAACGTGATAATTTTCTGCATATTCGCAATTTACCTACAAAGCTAACGTGATAATTTTCTGCATATATTATAAGTCTCACTAGTTGTAGAATACAGATGTTGTCATATTATTGGCCAAAGTTTAAGAATCTTGTCATAATTGTGGCAAAACATGTAACTTTTAATACGATGTACGTATTTCAAAAACATGTAACTTTGTTTATTTGCTATTATTTTGGGCATCGGCCCACATTTTTGGCAATATCCGATTAGCTAATGGAAAGGTATGGGTCCATTCAAAATTCAAGTTACCAATTTCAAAAAATTACCATATATATCAATTTATGATACCAAAAACTAATATTTACACATTTTTAAGCTAGCAGATCATGGTATTATTCACTAAAAATGATGTCTGAAAAATATAAACTTGGCCTTACATCGAACCCAGCTGAGCGACGACCTTCTACCAGCTCCATACCAATTTCACACACTAAAATATGAGAAAACTCATTAAAAAATGATACCTACTCTTACTTTCCAATAGATTCTTTCTTCACATATATTAAAAAAAACTCTTCACACATTTGATTAACTTGATAGTTAGTACGAAATAACGATTCTTTATTTGTTTTTCCTTTTATAAGAACATTAAAAAGACTCCATCTAATTTCAAGTCAGCCATGGACATGTTCTATCTTTTCATCCTTTTGTCATCAAATCTCTTAACCTTATTCATCTCCACCACTTTCTACGCCCCTAATTGTTCCTTAACCCCACCACCGGTGATCAACCCTTCCGCCAGTCAACCGTCGTCCGACCACCACCTCCCGCCAGAATTCCTCGCCTTCACCTCACCAAAACACCTCCCATTTGGAATGAACTCAAATTTCGATTCAGACAAACTATACCCTCCGGTGGGTAGCCCGTGTACCCTTTTTCAAGAACTTCAAAACTACATGAGCTACCCGGTCAACGGGTCCTGCCCGGATGATGAACTTTTAGCACAAAAGCTCCTCCTCAAAGGCTGCGAGCCGCTCCCCCGCCGCCGCTGCCGCCCACCATCACCACCAGACTACACTGAACCCTACCCGATTCCCAAAAGCTTCTGGTCAACACCACCCGATTCATCAGTCATTTGGACAGCATACACATGCAAGAACTACTCATGCCTTATAAACCGGTCCCACAACCAAAAACATTTTGATGACTGTAAAGACTGTTTTGACCTTGAGGGTAGAGAGAAAACAAGGTGGGTGATCAAGGGTAAAACCGGAACCGATTTTGCTATAGATGAAGTGTTAGCGATGAAGAAACACGGAACGATTCGAATTGGGCTTGATATCGGAGGTGGTGTTGGAACTTTTGCAGTTAGAATGATGGAAAGGAATATAACGATAGTAACAACTTCAATGAATTTAAATGGTCCTTTTAATAGTTTTATAGCATCAAGAGGTGTTGTGCCTATGTATATAAGTGTTTCACAGAGGCTTCCGTTTTTTGATAACACCTTGGATATAGTTCACTCGATGCATGTATTGAGTAATTGGATTCCAACTACTTTGTTACATTTTTTGTTTTTTGATATTTATAGGGTTTTAAGGCCTGGTGGGTTGTTTTGGCTTGATCATTTCTTTTGTGTAGGGGAGGAACTTGAAGGGATTTATGTGCCACTTTTGGAAAGTGTAGGGTTTAATAAAGTGAAGTGGGTGGTTGGGAAGAAGTTGGATAGAGGACCTGAGTTAAACGAGATGTATCTTTCGGCTTTGCTAGAAAAGCCATTATTTTAACTCTTGGTATTTTTTTATTTTATTTTATTTTATTTTTTTTAAATTTGAGATGTGAAATATAAGGGTTGATTGTTGTACGTGGAAGTACATGGGATGGGATATAACGTTTTTCTGGAAAGTGTAAGGAGAATATCATTGTTTTCTTTTAAACTACAAGGGTCGTATTAGACTTGATAGAAGGTATTTTGTGAGAATAATATTCTTTCACCCTTAGCCAAAGAGGATTTCTTAAAGTTGAAAATGTAAAAATAAAGGCTATTTCCAGAATTTTAGATTTATAAACCTCCGGCCCATGGGCCAAAATGGGTCCAAATGTTAGCCCAAAAAGGCCAAATTGCAGCTGGAGAGACTCAAATTTCAGGTGAGCGTAATGGCCAGCAATTTGGATGAATCTTTTTGGAAAAACACTATTTTTTGCCAAGTCATTAAGGAATTTAGGTATATTTTTAATTTTCTCTTTATAATGGGGACATTACTGATTAATTCCAAATTTATTTGAATAGATGAGTGATTTAAGTTCTGGAACTATAAAGAGGGTTCTAAAATATTAATAGGTTATTCTTGATTCCGATCAAAAGTTGTATTTCATACAAAAATTGAGTAAATATCGATAATTGACGATGTTTGGTGAAACTGTATAAAAAAATGAAGTGATATTACAACATAAATATCAAGTGTTGCTTTGACAGTCTAATGTGAGCTAAGTTCATGTACATAATAGATTTATGATAGCAGTAGCAGTAGGAGCAACTCCTTTGTGATTTGGAAATTAAGAAATAAGCAGGATCTTAAGAGTTGATATTTAAATTGAAAAGGGAGCACATGTACTAGAGTAACTAAGGGAGGCTGTGGTATTGTACAAGTGAGACTAATGCCCTAGTCACATTTTACCTTTCACCTTCTTTCAGATTCACTTCATTTTCCCCTCACTCTTCAAAACCTAGGAAATGGTCACACTTCACTTTCTGTTCATTTTTTATACAATGTGCAATGTGGATTTGTACTAAATGCATCATAAGTGTTGTACATCTTTGCGGTTGGGTTTAACCCACCGAAAATTCGTAATTAGTTACACTTATAAATTTATCATTATTGTTTTGAATTGTACATGGTGATTTACGAGATCGGGGATTGGTGTTGAATGCTCAGTTGACATAAGGTGAGTGAAAATACGATAAAATGATCTTAAGAAGCTTCGTCTTTAAAAAAAATTGAAATTTTTTAATGTTTCTCTTTGTAGAAGCTTCATCTATAAAAAAATTGAAATTTTTTAGAAGTGACGTCATTTTCACAAAATATTCATTGAAAACCCCATTTTGTGAAATGAGTGATTCATGATCTTTTTTAATCGTGAGATACATGGTCTTTTGTAACTAAAAAAATTAAAATATGATAGCTTGGTGTTAAAAAAATAACACTTTCTAAATCATTGCTTTTCCCTCCTTTAATGAGTTCATTCATTTATTTTAGATTCTTTTGAAAAACCATAGAAAGTTCTCTCCATTGACCCATTGACATTAAGAGGACCCAAGAACAATAGTGGATGTCACTAATATGTGAAGATAAGGACCCAAAGATACAGATGCGTAACTATTCACACTCAAGTAGGTCCTAGGACAACCTTTTTTCTTTTTTAATTTATATAAAAATACATAACGAACTATCTTATTTTTGCCAAAAGACCTACATTTTCATACTTTTTTCCATTTCATTTATGTAGGGAACCACATTGATTTTGGTTCTAGATTCGCCACTGCTAAGAGAGAGAATTGATTCAAGAAATACGATGTGCAGATTAATTCTAATGATTTGTGTAAACTAATCAGTTGTGGAAATATGAGAAACAAACAATAATGCAGTTGTATTTGGCTTTTTATTTAATTATCTTCATTTTTAAGTCTATGTAAGGACACTTCAGGAGATAAAAGGACTTAACAGATGAAATAAATGCAGGGAATAATATAATAACCATTAAATTTTATTTAATTATCTTCATATTTATATTATTTCCCTCATTCACAGGTTCAAGGAACAACTCATGTCCATTTTTTTTAGATTCTTTTAAAGGACCTATATATCTATATCTCCATTGACCAATGCAAATAGTTTGGACGTGGATCATCTATATAATAGTCATCAGTTACAAAATTGATTATGAAGTAAAACACAGTTTGAGTGAAACTTCTATTAGCATTTATCAGAAAACAAAATTAAATGTCTAAATGATCAAGTTAAGTTATAGTATTACATTGTTAAATCCAACAATAACATCTGATACTGTTGTCTTTTTGTAATCCTAGTGCCTTGCTAAATTTCAGGCTACAAGAATTTTTATTTTTCTAAGAAAAAAGTAATAATGCCATGACAGATAAACACATTTCAAAGTGTAATACACTCCTTTGTGGAAAAATATGACATTGACTTCTAACGTAAAAGACACTCCTTGTGGAAAAATATGACATTGTCCAAATTTCCTTTCGAGCACATGAAAAAGAACAAAGGAGAAAAAGGTAGCTCAAGTATAAATTAGGACATGCAATCCACTCTTTTTTTATTGAAAGCAACATAGCAAAGCAAATAATGTCGTCTTCAAACTTGTTATTTTTCTCTCTAACTCTATTAATCATCACACTCTCCCCCATACCAAATTTCGCTTCTCCTTCTTTGGAGGAAGCCAATGCTCTTCTTAAATGGAAAGCAAGCCTTGAAATCCCCAAAAACTCCTTACTCTCTTCATGGATTCCCCTCCCTTTGAATTCCAGTGCATCAGTTCCATGCACTTCTTGGTTTGGAGTAGTTTGCAATTCTGATGGGAGCATTCAGAAGTTGAACCTCACATCATCCGGATTAATGGGTACGCTTCATCAATTTCCATTCTCTTTGCTACACAATCTTGTGCATTTTGATCTCAGTGTAAACAACTTCTTTGGCCCCATCCCACCAGAAATCCATCTTTTGTCCAAACTTGTATATCTTGATTTTTCATTGAACAAGTTTTCTGGAGTAATCCCACCTGAAATTGGAAACCTGCACCAGCTAACCTTCTTGTACCTATCCTTAAACAATATATCTGGCTCTATTCCTTCGTCATTGGGTGATTTGACATCTTTGAATGTCCTTTATTTGTTCCGCAATTACCTCTCTGGTCCCATTCCTATTGAATTTGGGAATTTGAAGTCTCTTACTGATCTTGCTGTGAATGAGAATCAACTTAATGGCTCTATTCCTTCGTCATTGGGTGATTTGACATCTTTGAATGTCCTTTATTTGTACCACAATTACCTTACTGGTCCCATTCCTATTGAACTTGGGAATTTGAAGTCTCTCACTCGTCTTGATGTGAGCTTCAATATACTCAGTGGTTCTATTCCTTTATCTCTAGCAAACCTGAGTAACCTACAGCTTCTGTACCTCGATTGGAATAAATTATCCGGCCCCATTCCCATTGAACTTGGGAATTTGAAGTCTCTCACTTATCTTCAGGTGGCTGTGAATCAACTTAATGGTTCTATTCCTTCATCATTGGGTAATTTGACATCTTTGAATGTTCTTTATTTGCACACCAATCAACTCTCTGGTCTCATTCCTACTGAAATTGGGAAGTTGAAGTCTCTCACTCATCTTTCGGTGAGAGGAAATCAGCTTAGTGGTTTTATTCCTTCATCATTAGGTGATTTGACATCTTTAATTCTCCTTTATATGCATAACAATGAGCTTGCTGGTCCCATTCCTAGTGAACTTGGGAAGTTGAAGTCTCTCACTGATTTCCAGGTGAACAACAATCAAATTAGTGGTTCTCTTCTTCCAGAGTTTGGAAATTTAACTCAACTACGAAGACTTAATCTGTCTTGAAATCATTTGGTTGGAGAGATCCCAAAGGAGTTTGGGAAGATGAAAAGTATGTTGGAACTGTACTTGGCTGGCAACCAACTTTCAGGTGTTATACCTTTTGAGCTTGGATTTTGTGAACTCCTTGAAGTACTCGATCTATCCAAAAATAGATTGAAAGGGTCGATTCCAACAAGTATTGGTCAATGGGCACATATCCACTACTTGAATCTTAGTAATAACAAGCTCAGTGAGAAAATTCCCTCCCAGATTGGTAAATTAGTTCAGCTTACAGAACTTGATTTATCTCAGAATTTTCTCATAAAAGAGATACCATCTGAAGTTCAAAGTCTGCAAAGTTTGCAAAAATTGGATCTTTCTCACAACAGACTCTCTGGTTCTATTCCTAATACATTTACAAGTTTGCCTAATGGGATTCATATCAACCTTTCTTTCAATAAGCTGTCAGGTCCAATCCCCCCTTGCACAAACTTTGTGAATGCATCCATTGAAAACAATCTAGATTTGTGTGGAAATGTTACGGGAGTGAAACTTTGTCCAAGTCAAATTACGAAGAAGAATAGTGATCCCTTTCATCATAAGCTTATCCTTGTAATTATGCTCCCTCTTATCGGGTCTGTTTTACTTGGTGTATTCACATATGGCCTCATTGCTAATCTACAACAAAAGAAAAAGTCTCCACAAAAACCATCGGATGAAGAAATCGGTGATTATTTCTTTATTACAAGTTTTGATGGAAAGGTATTGTATGATGATATCTTGAAGACAACAAATGATTTCGATGAAGCATACTGCATTGGGACCGGAGGATATGGTAGTGTTTACAAAGCTGAGCTACAACCTAACAATGTGGTAGCTGTCAAGAAACTTCACTCATCATCTGAGAATGTTGATCACAATGGATTCCTTAATGAGGTACGAGCATTAACGAACATAAGGCATCGAAACATAGTGAAACTCTATGGGTATTGCTCCCATGTTCGCCACTCATTTTTGATTTATGAATACCTTGAAAAGGGAAACCTTGGATCAATCTTAAGAAGCAATGTCTTAGCAAAAGAATTGGATTGGTTGAAAAGAGTAAATATTGTAAAGGGTGTAGCAAATGGTTTGGCTTATATGCATCACGACTGCTCACCTCCTATAATTCATAGAGACATATCCATAGCCAACATCCTTCTTGATTCTGATTATGAGGCGCATATTTCTGATTTTGGCACGTCCAAGCTTTTAAAGCTTGATTCATCCAACTGGACTGCAATTGCAGGCACCTATGGCTACATTGCGCCAGGTAACTGAACCTTGTGAGTTTAGTTCTACATCTTCTTAAGTTTTATGATATATATAGAAATATGTATAAATATGTATCTATGTTAGAATCTTGTGGGGTTGATATAGCTTTTTTTTTTTTTTTTTTTTAATCTCATGTTCCTTTGGATGTAGAGCTTGCTTATACGATGGTGGCAAATGAGAAATGCGATGTGTATAGCTTTGGAGTTGTTGCAGTAGAAGTGATAATGGGAAAGCATCCGGGAGATCTCATAACATCTTTACCAACATTGTCTGCTGCTGATTATCTGGTGCCGTCAAACGTGGGAGATAGTCGGATACCTCCTCCCTCATCCGAAGTAGAGAAACAAGTTAAGTTGGTTTTGAATCTCTCAAGAGCATGTTTGAACTCCAATCCACATGAAAGACCAACAATGCAACAAGTTTCAAATCGGTTAATGAAGGATCTGCTTCGAATTGACATCTCTTGCCTGATCAATATATTGTATTTCAGTGTTCTTTTTACTTTTCTTGAGTTCCCTATATGCATCATGTCAATATGTATTCATTCGAATGGCTTTTGTTAAGAAACTTCACATATGTTTGTGAACAAATAAGTAAATGAAAATTACTATGCTTCTAAAAAATTGAAACCAAGGACAACACCATCACAAAAAAAAGTCAAGCTTTGACCACCTGAGTGTTAGATGTAATCTTATTAATGCAAGTATAAAAAGCTTCTTCATCTGAATCTCCCTTCCATGTTTATTGGTAGCTAGTACTGAAATGACACGAGTAGTTTCATGTATGGATAATCAATGGAGCATGGAAGAAATTGCAAAGTGATTGTCATTTGTGAATATTGTTACTGCAATCAGGAAAGAAATAAAACAGGGGCTCTCCACATTGATGGGCATCAAATTTTTCCAAACACATAATATCTATTGTTAACCAAGTTTTGCCAAAGACACTATAAGAACATTAACTAGCTACAAAAATAATTAAGTCTAGTTTGCATTTTAAAGTGTAATGTTAGCTAATATATCAATAGCATTTCCTGGAATCCATTCTTCTCTCATTCTGTATTGGGTGTGTACAATTTTTTTGGAGCAAAACAAAACTAACAAATGTTTGGAGACCATTTAGAATATTCTTTATTTTTAAGTACTCTATAGTATCACTACACTACGCTATGAACAAACCAATACCATACAGCTGATGTGGCATTAAATTCAAAAAAAAAAAAAAAAATCATTCAGGCATTTCATCAAACAGTTAATATTCATTAGACTAACATTTTTGCAAAGAGCATGTACAAGTGATCCTAAATGGAGTGTTGGAAGAAGATATCACAGAAAAATGAAGAAAGACACCAATACATACCTTATAATTGATATCCACTTTAACGATCCTGAACCACACTTCAACCACTCTGCGTCTACTATGGAAATGGATTCACAGTTTTGTGTAATCACCAGTCTGTTTTAAGTTAGATAAATTTTCTTCGATTTGGATGGATTCAAATGATTTGGATGCGATTTATGCACATGGAAATCTGGAATTGATTTCTTCAATGGTGCAAGCTAGTGTCGAAACCCTCATCTTCAATGTCTGAGATGTTTGTGCATTTCTCTAAACAGGGGTCTGAAAGTAGAATTGTTGGGTGCCTTGTGCTATACAATTATATGATCTTTTTAGAAAACACGGACTTCCAGAGTTTTTAATCGGTGTTATAATCATCAAGATAAAGTGTTTGATGAGACTCAGTTGTTATCCTTCAACTGGGTAAACAACAGAGGCCGTAGATTCAAACTTGCAATGGAAAACTGATTTCACAGCCTTTGCCATAGTTACTATCGATGTGAGTTTCATGTTGAGATTAATGTGTTGTAAGATGGCTCCCTCCCTTTCGATTCAACTTTTGACTATTTTGCCCCTGGTGTTGCTTTGGTAAAATTCAACTTTTGACGATTTTGCCCCTGGTGTTGCTTTGGTAAAATTCACAATTTCTGGTGATGCTACATGCATGCTGTGAGATGGCTTTGTCCTTTTGGATTGATGAAATGAAATGAAATTATATATGTGAAGATGGATCTGAAGAAACAGTATCGATTCTAAAACCTTATAGTTCATTTGGAGAAGTTTCTATTCGTTGTAACATTCCACAACCTTATACAGTTCGAGTGTGTGAGCTCTATAGACTTACTTCCATAGAAATTGAATACATAGATGTTTTTTCTTTCTGTTACAATGTTGTTGCTATTTCATGGATCTAACCTTTTTTTTTATTTTATTTTTTTTTTTTTTTATAGAAATTGTTTTTTGTTCTGTTTTGGAACTTAACAATCATTTCAAAAATCTGTTTCTAACATTTCTCTTGGATTTGAAACCTTTTAATGCAGGCATGACTTCCAATTCTTTAACACTTAGAGGCTAATTTATTCTTTTTTTCTATATATTTTTTCTAAAAAGTACATTGCTTTTCAAGAAAGGAAGAATATAAGGATCCGCATCTATGTCTAATCCAATGAGTTTTTTGAAAGGAACAACTAGTACAATAACATCCCAAGAGGTTTGTTTAATTTTGTCCATTATAGTATCCTATCATAACATTGTATTTTATAAAATTTTCCTATCATAACATCCCAAGAGGTTTGTTTAATTTTGGAAACTAAAAAAAAAAAAAACCATTTATGAAGTTTTCTAGGGATCTGCGATGGAAAATAAAAAAATCATTTATGAAGTTTGCTAGGGATTAGCTAATGAAAAATTAAAAATAATATATGAGTTTTGCTAGGGATTAGAGACGGATATAAAATAAAAGATATGAAGATTGCAACAAAACATCGATGGAATATTGTTATCAAATTTGTCGCCAATGTCCTAAATAATTGTATTAAGGGACCATTTTGCGATGGACACTCCATCGCTAAGTTTATCGCAAGGAAAAACTGAACCGTCACTAAAGCCCTCGCCATGTCATTATCCACACTTTATTTAGCTATGGAGTATATCTGCTGCTAATCCATTGCAAACAACATTTAGCGACAGATTCGACTATCTCTAAAACCCATGTTTATAGTAGTGTTCTTTGCCTTGACAAATAATCTTTCTCTAACATTCATGAAATTTATTTCCATGATGGGAGAAAAATTCTCAAAATCTTGTAGAGGTAATTCATTCACTTTGCAATTTCTCACATGGCATAAAGATGCCACCTCTACTGTCATAAGAACCCACACATCTAGAAGACTCCATTTTAGGGCCTTTTGAGCTAAATGGCCCATGCATGAACATAAAGTTTGAAACTTTATGTATAAAAGGGGCCCAAGTAGGCCAAATCTATGATTTGAATGCATTAATGTGACATAATATTATTTAATTAGTATTGATCAAGAATTAATTTACAATTAATTTAGTGATCAAAAGGAACTAATTAAATATGGGCACTTATATTTATATAGTGTGGGCTAATGCTTATTTAGAATGGGCTAGGCTTGCATGGAAAGTCCATGGATAGTCCATGGAGCTTTAACCCATGGAACTTATGGAAATGAAAGGTCATGGGTATTAGGGTTTACATGAATGTAACCCTAATCCACCACACTATATAAAGGGGTCCTTGGCACATGAAATGGCACTAGTGTGTGAGTAAACAAAAGTGGGTCATTTCTAGTGTGCTTACTATTCTCTCAAGTTTCCAAGGTGTTTTTGGTGATTTGTTATTCCACTTGAGGCTTCCACACTATTGGGGCTAAGCTCTTAAAGTTCAAGACTTCAAGCTTCATCAAAAGGTATGCTATCTAACTAGACTTTTATAGTATAGTTGCTTCATATTATGCTAGTTAGGATAAAACCTTGGAATACTGAGAACGTGGATCCAAGGTTTATAGGGTTGCATGTACACCATAGGAGTGTTAGAATGCTCAAAACCCTTCAGTGGTATCAAAGCCTAGGCTTGTTTTCATTTATACTTGATGCAAATTACTGAAAATCGAAGTTTATATGCTATCTAGATAGCTGACTCGCCGAGTCCATTAAGGGACTCGACGAGTCCATGTGTAAAATCATCAAACTCGTCGAGTTGGTTCATGCACTTGACGAGTTGGACCCCCTAACAGCATATCTTCGAGTTTTAAGGCTGGAATTGGTCTAGAATCATTACCTTAAACTGTTTTGGACTTATAAAACCTGTTTTTGATGTGGTAATGATTATGGTAAACCAATTTCAAGGTTATTATCAAAATTTCATGTTTTAAATGTCTTTATGTAATTCTTGAAATTGTTGATATGATTGTTCATACACTTATGAGTTTTGGTAGATCATAGGAATTATTTGCAAAATTATTTGTTAAATAATTCTTGATCTAAATTTTTTTAATTGAGTTCATAATTTGTCCTCAAGTTATGGATTACCAAAAGTTATTTCTTTTAAAGATCCATTAAAAATTCATAGGTTACATAGTTGAAGAGTCTTTCTCATAAATAGTTTTATGGACTCCATAACTTGTCCCCAAGTTATGGATGTTCAAGAGTCTCTTCATTAAAGTTTTTAAAAACCTTAATCAAACTCATAAGTTATGAAAATCCAAAAGTTTTTGAATTGTTCGAAACATGCCCTTAAGTTTTAGAATTTGTAAACTCTCACACACACTTTAATTCCAAACCCTAGAGTTCTAAAATTTAAAATTCAACCCCTATAAGTTAATAATATATATGTATAAGATCAAGTCAGTCTTACCATTAGTGGGCCTCATTCACGAAGCCAGTCTATAAGGGGGTATAAGGTTGCTGCTTATAAAATAACAGCTTAATGGGTGTCCACTCTCACCCACCGCTTCCTTGACTGGTGGAGGGTCGTTAGCCGAACAAGTGGGACAAGGACTATAATTCTCATTATAAGTATAATGATAAATATAAAGCAACTAAACATTTTATAAATTCTCAATCTTAGTTACTTTAGGAAAATGTGAATTTGGTGCTAACCCATGAAATTGCACTTTGCACCTTGCTTAAGTCGTTAGTGGAGCGTGTGTGGTTAACCCACACACTAACTTGGATTTAACAAGGTAGGCAAAGGGTGGCTTAAGGTTTATCATTGATCGGTGGAGCGCGTATGGTTAACCGACACATCGATTAGGTGATAAATATTAAGGGTACCAAGTATATTTGCAATGTTATTTTAACCTTATTTGTGATCCTCTGCATCCCAATCACAAACTTGAGAGGGCACAATCTAGATTTAAACATGCCATTGAAAAGTTCAATGAATCTTAAAAGATCTAGGAGCTTCAAACCAATTAAAACCTAATTCCTATTTCGTTTTTCATGGTGGAAATTGGTGAATTATCATTCTCCTACCTTCAAATATTTTATGGCTTGGATTACGGCATCCCTTTTACAAGTTATAAAATATTGTGTTGGGTCCTAGCCTTAATATTTCATATTGGGTGTTATATTAAGGACTTGAATCAACTAACTTGAATTTCTGCCATTGTAGATGTCTGGTTTAGACAATTATGATCTTCCCAAATCTCTTGGAACAAGCTTTCCTAATGAAGATGATGTCCCGAGACTAGATCATGGAAATCATACTTCTCTTCCTCCACCTCCTCCAATTATTTTCCC